CCCTCCCCTGCCTGCCTGCCTGTCTGATTGCTCCTAACCGCTTCTGCCTGCCAGCCTGATCACCCTCTAACCACTCCCCTGCCAGCCTGATTGATGCCTCACTGCTTTTCTCCCGGCCCAATTGCCCCTAACTGCCCTCCCCTGCTGGCCTGGGCACCCCTAATTATCCTCCCCTCCAGTCCTGGTCCCCCCCAACTGCCCTCCCCTGCTGGCCTGGTCGCCCCTAACTGCTCTCCCCTGCAGGCCTGGGTCTCCCACCAACTGCTTTCCTCTACAGGCCCGGTCACCGCTAACTGCCCTCCCCTGCTGGCCTGATCGCCCACAACTGCCCTCCCCTGCTGGCCATCTTTGACCACATGGGGGTGGCCATCTTGTGTGTTGGAGTGATGGTTAATTTGCATATTACCTTTAATAGATAGGATGTTCTCTAACCATAATGGAATTGACTTAGAAATCAGTAACACAAAGAAAGATATCTGGAAAATTCTCAAACAATTGAAAAGTAAATGACACACTTTTAAATAACCCAGGCTCAAAGAAAGGCAAAATTGAAAATACTTGAACTAACTGGAAATGTAATATAATTTGTGGGAGGAAGCTAAAGCCATACTCAGATGGAAATATATAGCATTAAATGCTTATATTAGGGGGAAAAAAGAGTTTTGAATCAGCCATCTAAATTCCTACCACATGAAAATAGGAAAAGAAAAGAGCAAATTAAACCCAGAGATTTCAGAGGAAGGATACAATAAAGGTAAATGCAGAAATCAATGAATTAGAAAATAGACAACAGGTGAAATCAGTGAAACCAAAACTGATTCTTTGAGAAAATGAATGCAGTTGACAGATCTCTAGTCAGATTGGTCAGGATAAAAAGAGAGAAGACAAAAATTACTAGTAGTAGGCATGAAAGAAGCTACTTCACTACATACCCTATGGACATTAAAAGGATATGAGGAAATATTAAGAACAACTTCATGCTAGTAAATTCAACAACTTAGCTACAGTGGACAGATTTCTTGAGAAAAAATAAATGTATGATTCTTTGATTATAGTACATTTTGGCATCATAAACTTGAGATTCTTATTTGGAATTTCGTAGAATTTTTTACACTAAAGGGTTAAATAATTTAATTTTGTTTCTCCTGTGTGTTCACAAACTAACAATCACTATCGAGAATTAGATGTTTTATATACAGACGTGGAAGATACTACCTTAAACATTTATTGTGCAAATCAAATATTATAGTTGAGATGTTATGAAATATATTTTAATCTATTCAAGGC